TATAACTGAATGGTTCACATTATTGTCTACTTTTGGTATTTTAGCTGCAAGACTTGATCCAACGTTCACAAAATGATGATTAAATCCATTTACAATTTCATTTTCATCATGGATTTCATCGTCATCCTTCAAAAAATATTGTGAGTAATAAAGTATATGATGATCTGACAGGTTAAGTCATTAGCTGTTAATATTATAATAATTAATAATAGCATATATAAATAGAACAATTGTGTAATATATATAATATACATATAAATAATACAATATAAATATATAATAATAATAATAATAATGTTCTAGACTGTCCAGTAGATGGCACTGTTATACTTTAAATTTGTTGTTAGTAATGTATTTATTTGTAATGTACTGTTTCCATTTATTTTTAGAGCGATTATAATGTAAATAAGGTAAAGATAATATAAATTGTTTTAGCCTAATTCTAAGTATTAAAGACTGTAAGGCTTCCATTGCAACCATGTGAAGCGAGGGAGTCAGAAGTGCTCAGAAGACAAATGTAATATAAATGTACAAATGTACATTTTTATGTTATTATCTTTATATTATATCTTAACATGTACATACATATACAAATGTACATTCATATGTACATATAATATATATAATAACAATAATAATATAATATAATTAATATTATTAATAACATTCTGGGCAGCACGGTGGCGCAACTGGTAGAGCCGCTGCTTCTCAGCAAGCAGGTCCCTGGTTCAAATCCCGGTCCGGGGGCCTTTCTGGGTGGAGTTTGCATGTTTTCTCCATGCATGTGTGGGTTTTCTCCGGGTACTCCGGTTTCCTCCCACAGACCAAAAACATGGTGTTAGACTGATTGGGAACTCTAAATTGTCCCTAGGTGTAAGTGAGAGAGTGAATGGTTGTTTGTCTCTATGTGGCCCTGTGATGGATTTGCGACCCATGCCGGGTGTACCCTGCCCCTCGCACAGTGATTGCTGGACATGGGCACCGGTAAAGCGGGTAAAAGATAATGGATGGATGAATAACAAATAGTAATAACAAAGTAACTGATAAATAACGAATAAACAAATAGTAACTGTCAGTGACAGTGTTTGACATGGTGTCATATGGCTGATATGACGATCTGACAACCTATGCTAACCCGATAGATATAGCCGTCAGTTTGTGCTACGCGTATGACTAACAGACAGACTCCTTGACCTTACTGCTGCATTTGATACTGTGGACCATATTATCCTTTTATCCTGGCTACAACACTGGGTTGGGATTACTGGTGCAACGTTAGAATGGTTCCATTCATACCTGAGCGACAGGAGTTTCTGTGTTAATTTTGCTAACACTCTATCTACTTCAGTGCTTCTTTCCTGTGGGGTCCCACAAGGCTCCATTCTTGGACCCCTTCTGTTTTCATTGTATCTCTTCCCCTTAGGGTCTATCCTGAGGAAACATGGTCTTTTCTTTCATTGTTATGCTGATGACTCTCAGATTTATCTGCCGTTAACACCTAACAGTTCCTCCTCCATTCGCCCTTTGTTAAAATGTCTTGATGACATCAAGACTTGGATGGCTGCAAACTTTTTGAGTTTGAATGATCAGAAGACTGAGGTCATTGTATTTAACCCTAGCTCTGCCACTGTCACTGATCCTGCAAACCTGGACTCCCTTCAGCCATATCTAAAACAGTCTGTTACCAATCTTTAGACTCGGACTTTAAGTTTAATAAGCAGATAAATGCTGTTCTTCAAAAAAGCTTCTTTCAGCTTAGGCAGATGGCAAAGCTCAAGTCCGTGCTGTCCAGATCCGACCTTGAAAAATTAGTCCATGCATTTATTACAACCCGGCTGGACTACTGTAACTCGCTTTATGCTGGGGTCAGTCAGGTCTTTCTCTCTCTCGTCTCCAGCTCATCCAAAATGCTGCAGCTCAGCTACTAACAGGAACTGGCAGGTTTGAGCACATTCTTCCAGTTCTGTCCTCTCTTCACTGGCTTCCTGTGCGTGTCAGAGTTGATTTTAAGATTCTTCTGCTGACATTTAAGTGTGTTAATGGCCTTGCACCCTCATACCTCTACAACCTCCTTCATCCTTATACTCCTTCTCGGGCCTTGAGATCATCAGACCAGCTGCTTTTGGCCGTACCTAAAACCAGGCTGAAGCTCAGAGGAGATCGGGTGTTTTCAGTCATGGGCCCTAAACTCTGGAACAATCTGCCCATCAACATTCGACAGGCCACCTCAGTCTCTATTTTTAAATCTCTCCTCAAAACACATCTGTACTCACTGACACATCTGTACTCACTGACACATCTGTACTCACTGACACATCTGTACTCACTGACACATCTGTACTCACTGACACATCTGTACTCATTGGCATTTAACAGTGTGATCTCATTTGGTACTTCGTTGTTGATGATTGTGTTCATCCATTTTGCTTTTACTCCCTGACATTTAACGCAGGGTGATTTGATTTAGTATTTCATTGTTTCTCATTATATTTAATGTTTTTATTCATGTTGCTGTAATATGTTGTTATTAGTATTTGATGCTGTGATCTTTTTTGGTAAGCACTTTGATAACAGTTACTGTTTTAAATGTGCTATAAATAAATGTGACTTGACTTGACAGAACACCGGTCACCCAGTCAGAACCTTCCTCTGGAAACAAAACCTGGGGGAAGGCCAGACTCGAACCGAACCGGTTCAAAGTGACACTTTCAATCATCAAGACACCTTCAAGTGGCACCAAAATCATCTCACAAACCTAAGTCTATAGCTAAACAAAGCTCTGTATGAACATTTTCCACCTCTTTTAATGGCTCCTGCTCAGTCCTTACCCAGGGAGTGATCTTCTTTGAACATCCATTTCATGTTGGCCGGTTCGGGCTGGCTCCGCTCGACACAGCAGCTTTCAGGCGGGACTCCCGGTGAAAAGGCGGCTCTGCCTGTGAGCTCTCCTCTGAGTTTCAGCTCTTCAAGGGCCACTAACGTTTCAGCTACACAACAACAACAAACTCCACTACCCTTTCTTCTCAGCAAACCAGCTGAAGCCTTCCGTCTATAGTGACGTCACAGCGGGACGAACCATTACACCTTGTAAAGAAGGGGTGGCAGGATAAGGAGACCTGCTGGATTCATGGGTTTTACCTCTAAAATGTTCAAGTTAAAAACACTAAAATGTTTGTATGTGTTGCATAATCTTTATTATTACAATAATAGTGTTCATATATGGTCATAGCTTATTTTAGGCAGCAAAACGTTGATATTTATCAGGCTATGTGAAATCGTACCACCCGAATATAAACTTAACCAGACCGTATTCAAAGCTGTCCTTGTTGATTTCATCTGAAGAGAAATCTGCTAAATCTCAAGCTATTTCTGCATATTGTTGATTTGCGTCTTCGCTCCGCCCGAGTTCGTTGTTATGGCTTGTTGTACAGGAACAAGGAAGGAAAAACTAAGTTACACTAAAAATAGGACAGAGTCGCTATTTTAAGTTCACACGTATATTTAATAGATAATAGTCACAAGATACATTTTTAGGAATACAATTTTGGTTAGTAATTATTGCAAAATTAAAATAAAAGTGATGAAGTAGATGGATTGAATGAATTCGCATTCATTCTGACCAATACGACCTGCACAGTTGTGCAGCTCGTGCTGCATGGTTCTGATTCTGCTCTGGGCGGTTCTGTTTCTCTCTGCCGAGGGGGGAGATGCTTCATGCTTTTATAACCTGTCTGTGTGCTGCCCCGTTTGGAGCAACACAGAACTTACAACCTCCCCCAAAATGTTCCTTTGTCTAACTTTCACAGTTTTTCTTCTAAGTGTTGTTGGAGTTTCATATTTTCCTATGAAACATATCAATGTCGTTTTTATTAAATGTGCATGTCTTTCTTCAACTATATAATCACAACTTTTATCTAATTAAAATGTTCATCCTAGATACTTACTTTATATATATGAAAACTGAAGCAAACTTCACCAGAGTGTTCAACCATGTTTAATGCAGACAATAAAACTCACTAAATAACTCTTGACTGCAGCATCCTATTGAACAGTTTCAGATAATCAGAACAAAGAAAGTTCAATCTGTCCTATTCCTCAAAATACACTAACTACTCCTTGCAACCTCTAATTTTCATACTAATACATCAGAAATATTAAACTAACATTAGATTGCAAAGTATTAGTTATTTTAATCTAACAATTAGACTAAACATTGATCAGAACATCATCCCTGCCTCAACAGGCTTTAAGGAAAACTCTTCATGTTTGTATATGAGGTCAAGCTGTCATATAACTTATCATCTGGAATGTATCCATTAGTCCTGGCCGGCCGTAAAACCTCGTATCCATAGCAACGCAGCTTTCTAAACCAATCAGAGGGTGAGACCTCTATAACATCAACAAGAAAGTTCTGTTCACCTCCCCCCATCGTGCTCAGTTTTCTGCTGAGTTTAAACAAAGGAACTGATGACAGAACATGCCTGTCTTCTTCAGCTATACACAGACTTTGTTGAAGAGTAAATAAGTTTCACCAATACATAAAAATAAAGAATTAAGCACACAAATATATTTTATTTCACAACAATGTGAAGGAGAAGAAAATGCTGCTTTGTGATAAAAAGCTAAACATTACTTGAAGGAATGCACGTTGCCTACAACCTTTCAAAGCAGTTTTAAACTAAGGTCATGTAGTTATGAAACGTTGGTTACGTACTGTAACCCCAGATTCTATGAGTATAGGTGCAACCCTTTAAGGCTATCGCTAGTGGGTTTCCCTTTGCACGCAGCACGGGAAACTTTAGTCCGCGCCCACCGGCTGTGTGGGCCTCATCCCCCCCCCCCCCCCCCTCATATAAATTACGGTGAGACCAGACAATCGGCTCCCAAATAGCTTTTTTCTTCAGCCATTTAGGAACCAGTGAGGCCCAGAGCTTAAAGGGCTGCGCCTATACTCATAGAATCTGGGGTTACAGTAAGTAACCAACGTTCTATTTCGTATAGGCTTCGCCCTTTAAGGCTATCGCTAGTGGGTTAAAGGTGAAGCAGGATGTAGTCTATGCCTCACTGGGTCCATTCAGACACGAACATGAAGCACCTGCTTGCACAAAAAAAAAATTCATATCTCAGCCTTCTGTATGCGTAATTACGCGCTGCATAATTATGCGCAGGAGCGCACCGGAAAAAAGATCTCTGGTGAGGAAAAAGGCTGAGATAGCAGACCTGCTGCTGTGAATAGGAACAATGGAGGTTACGAATTGTAACAGTGTAACGATGACCAGAGCAGGCCAACAGCTCCTCAGGATGAACCGATTAATAACAATAAAATCAGCAGTCATGAACTTGTGACTGATAATAAATATTATTATATTATATATAATATAATATATTATAATATTAATAATATAATAATATCTTATTATATCTGCCCCTTAAAGGGGCAGATATAATAAGATTTTTTCTTCTTTCTGCTGCCTTTCATTTTAAATCTTTTGTATCGTTCTTTATATTGTTATGGAATTGTTTTGTACCTTTTTAAAATGAATAAACTTTATACCAAATATCTCACACTGCAACTGCATACAGACAAGTGTGAGCTCAAAAGTGAGGCTCCATGAAACAAATAATCATTCTGACAGAACCCTTAGAACAGAATGGGTCATGAAGAAGGAAGAAACATCACATAGATAAAAACGAATAATTGAACACGGCGATGACCAGGCAGCCGCCATACAAATATCCTCCACTGTCATCCCTCCATGCAGAGCCATGGAGGATGAAAACCCTCTGGTGGAATGCACTGTGATTCTCTGGAGGATCCAGTCCAGATGAACTGTAAGCTTCAGAAATAATCTCACACAACCAGTGTGGGAAGCGCTGGGTGGATAGAGGGCGTCTTGAAGAGCTGTCCCTGTAATGCACGAACAGACGCCGAGAGCGGCGCAGTGCGGCCGTGTGTGCCACGTAACACAAAAGCGCGCGCACGGGACAGAGGAGGTGAGATGTTGCTTCCTCCTCAGAATTATGAGGAGGAGGATAAAACCCATCCAAGATTATCACTCTCTATCTGAATGAGTGAAATATAATTTTATCAGATAATATATTAACGTAATGAAATGTCTAGATATATGTATCCCGTTTTGATATTTAGAATGATATTGTGTTAAAAACATGATCTGATTCCGTTTCCGGTAGAAAATGTAGTTTCAGCTACTTGCCTACAACTCCCAACCTTCACCCACCCATTATAGAACACAAGATGGCTTGATATTATTGGTTGAGAGCTGGGTCACATGATAGAGTAGGCTTCCCATTTGACGATGTTGGTGACGACTCCAGGAGGTGTGGCCGAGCTCTGAAGAAGATGGGTTGTCTGTTTACGTTCGGGGCCATTTGTTCGTGACCGCATGGTAGCGTTACAATGGCCCAGGGCTGGTGATTTTGTACTTTACATGTAAAATAAACCTTTTGAAATGGAAGACAATTGCTCCTCTTCTCCCTGCGTCCGAACAGAACACATTCTTTCAATGAGCTTGTGATGCTTTTCAGAGCAGGGTTAAGACGCAGTACAGCTGAACTGCCATCAGCTTGAATTCTGAGACATGAGGGAGCAACAGAGAGAGCAGAAAATCACTCACTCTCTTTGCTGACGTCAGAGCTAACAGCAGGGCTGTTTTAAGTGACAGAAATTAAAGTGAAACCAGATCTAAAGGCTCAAAAGGAGCTTTGATCAGTGCGCGCAGGACCATCGTTAGGTCCCCCTGTGGAGCTAGTGTACGTGACACAGGTCTGTGTCTTTGTACACCTTTCAGAAAACGCTTCATCAGCGGGTGATTAAGAACTGTTCTGTCACCAAAAAACATCATGACAGGAAGAAGTAGCTGCAGCATAAGTTTTAATTGTGCTGAACGCTAAATTTCTGTCCATCAGTTGCTGTAGAAATGACAGCACGCCACCAATTGGACACGAGATGGCCTCCACGCCTTTCTCTGTGTACCAGCGCTGAAAAAAACTGTCCACTTTGATGTGTACAGCGTTGTGGTGGAAGCGGCTCGTGCGCCCTGAATCATACGCATCACATCCTGTGGGAGGCCCATTTTTCTGTGTTGCCAGATAGAGTCAAGGTTTTCTAGCCCAAAAATCTAATATGTGGCTAAACGCAACAATCCAACAAAAATCTTCCCAGAGTTTCCAGAAAAATAGGAAGAAAACCGCCCAATTGGCAGTAAACCGCCCAATCTGGTCACACTGCCATCTTCTCTGAAACAGATCCATTCAGCGGCCAAACCCAAAAGAGCTGACCTATTTCTGGGTAACTCCTGATCGCTCTTCCTGCCTGGGGGAGAGCGCCCCCCACGGCAGTTTCTACGGCCGACCCGATATCAGTCGCTGCAGATTTGGAAACCATGGGGCGCTAAACCATAGGGTGCTTATGCGCTTGGGAGCTACGAGGATGACTGACAGTTCTTCCTCCCGAACCTGGTCCAGGGTCCGTGATATCAGCAGGACTGGAGGGAACACATAAAGGAGCATTTTTGGCCATGGGCTGTGAGCGAAGGCGTCCACCCCTAACGGTGGGTCGTCTCTTGGGCTCAGTGAGAACCATAATTGACACTGGGCATTCTCCCGTGTGGTGGACAGATCCACTGATGCTCGGCCGAACCTGCTCCAAATTCGAGAGATCAGATCGGGATGGAGGCTCCAGTCTCTGTGGTGGAGACCGCCACTCGACATTATGTCCGCTCCCCTGTTCAGGACGCCGGGAATGTACACTGCTCTGATGGAGAGCAGGTTTTTGTGTGCCCAACACAGCAGCTGTCTCACGATGTGTAACAATTGGGCAGAGCACAGGCCTCCCTGACTGTTTATGTAAGCTGCCGTCACTTTGTTGTTTGTGTGAATCAGAACATGCTGATCCCACAGTGGGGGGCAAATGCTGAGTCAAATTTCAGATCATGAAACATTCTAACACATTTATGTGAAGCGACATGTGGTCCAGCCACTGTGCTTCCACTGCATGAGACAGACACGTTCCTCCCTAGCCTGACAGGGATGCGTCTGTGAAAACTGAGATGTATGACATAGGCCGGCTGATGGGAACTCCCTCTGACAGAATGTGGGGGTTTCCCCAGTGATTCAGATCGGTTCTCACGGAGGGGGGCACAAAGATAATCTGCCTCTTCTGGCGCACAGGATCTATGCGCAGGCGGGAGAACCATCTCTGAAAGCGTCTCATGTGAAGCAGGCCCACTGGAACCACAATATGAGCCACTGACATCATCCCCAGGAGTCGCATGACAGGCAGAGCTGTCACTATGCTGCAGGGTTTGACACGGTGGAGCTGAGCTGACAGATCCTTGGCTCTCGGCTGTGATAAACGGGCTCTCATTGTGGTTGAGTTTAGCTCCACTCCCAGATAAACAATCATCTGGGACGGGAGAACGTAACTTTTTCCCAGATTATAGAAAAACCCAGGTTTAGCAGGTGTAACACTAGCGTTTGGTCTGCACAGCTGCTATCGGCCTGGACTGATCTAATAAAAGCAGATTGTCCAGATAAAAAATAATTCTCATTCCTACCATATGTAACGACTGCAGAGTCGTCTCCATGAATTTTGCGAATGTGCGTGGGGCGAGGGAATAACCGAACATAGCCTGTTGTACTGATACGGAATCCCATGGAGGAGAAGCATTGGAATTTCCTGTGTTTTGGAATGATGGAAATGTGACAATATGTGCCCTTCAGATCTATGGAGGTGAACCAGTCGTTCTGGTCAAGTTCTCCAGCAGCTGTTTGATTGTCAGCATGTGGAATTGTCTCTCCATGATCGATTTGTTGAAGATGGACAGGTTGAGAATGGGTCTCATCCCTCAGTTTTTTTTTCGTAACCAGGAAGTAGTGGGAGGAAAACCTTGTGGTTTCCTCTTTGTTGGGAACTCTGGAAATCACGTTTTTCCTCAGGAATTCCTGAACTTCTGACTGAAGAGACGAGCTCTCTTCTGGAGATGACAGAACCATCTCTATAATCCCTCTGAACGGTAGGGGTTGAGCTGCGAACTGTAGCGTGTAACCCCTGCTGATCAGACGGTCCATTCATCTGTCCAAGGAACAGGCCCGGAGTGACCAATCGGGACGGTCTGGGGAATTCCTGGTGGGCCGGTCTGATTTGTGGGCTGCAGGACTTGCCCTCCCTGTTTTTTTTTTATTTTTTAGAACTTTTTATTAACAACATTTAAACACAGAACACACTCCCACTGCTCCTAGGCCGCCCTGCCTCCTCCGCAGGGCTGCAGCTCTGTTCCCCCCCCCCCACCCACACACAAGTTGGCTCCGCTGCGCAACCTGTCAATCAATCCAGTAGGCATGTCAGCAAATGACCAGTCGGTAACCTCAATTTGTCCCGAAGGTAAACGCCCCTTACCTGAGGCTGCAGCCTGGATGCTACAGTCAGAGGGGTTTGTGAAAAATCCCCAGAACAAAATTGTTAAATGGTGTCAGTGGAGAACAGGCAATCCAGACACGTGTTACCCTGAGAGTTTAGAGGGTGGGATATAGTTTTTTGGTTTTTTTTATTAAACAGAGTTTGGAAAACATGTAAAAAGCCGGGACCAACCCCATCAGCTGATCACAAGTTATAAACAGGAAGTAGGTGCCACATATTCATCTCTACGAAAGTAACTGCAGGTAAATCCTCCATTTTCTATCATAATTACATTGTATGTTTAATGGTTAAATTAAAGGTTAATGCTTAATTCAGGTTCTAAAAAAGTTAAATCTGGTCCTCTGGACATTCAAAAAAACAAAACAAAGCAAATCAACAAAAAAATGTAGAAACGTTTCGTCTCTCATCCGAGAGACTTCCTCAGTCTGAGGAGCTGTATTAAATAGCACCTTCTCAGAGTGGATCAACCAGTTTGCTGCTGACAACCAAAACCAGCTGATCACATGCTCAAGAAGGACCATCAGCCTAACAATGGATCATTAGCACACTGATGGCTGTTTACTGTTCACAGAGGGCTGAGTGATACTAGCAATCACAGCATTGTAAGAGGGGGACAGTTGAACCCGGAGGCCTCCACCCCTGTTTAACGATGGACGATTTCTTTTCACAAAGATGGCCTCCTTTACTCCTCTCTCAAACCATCGTTCCTCTCTGTTCAGGATGTGAACATCTTCATCCCTGAAAGAGTGACCGCTGGCCTGGAGATGAGTGTAGACCGCAGAATCCTGGCCTGATGATGTTGATCTTCTGTGCTGGGCCATCCTTTTGGCCAGTGGCTGTTTTGTTTCCCCGATGTAATAATAAGTGAAAAGGGTGCACTGACACGGAGACTTCCGGTCAGATGACGCCCGTGTACATGGCGTGCAATCTACCTCTGACGATACTGTTTGGATTATTTCTGCTTTTTTCGTTTTTTGTCGGGGATATCAACTCGCTGCTTGTGTATGACCGACAACAGCTCCTTGATCTTCGATTGTCTGCATCTGCTGTCGCTGATTCGGACCATTTTGATCGTGACTCGGGACCCCCCCCCCTCTTCCACCCCTTCTGGCAGACGTGCCTGCTTGTTTACGCTGGGCCCCAAGCCTGCCTTCTCGGAGATATCGATCCAGACGCCGGGGTAAACGTGCCGGCCGGCTGGTAAAACTCAAAGCTCTGCGTGGTCAACGTTTCCACAGCCAGCTTCCTACGTGCCCGGACCAGGGAAGATATGGATGCTGTCTACCGGCCCGGCGCTTGGACCGTCCTGGAGGCGCTGTTTTTAAAAATCTGCAACCGTTGGCGCGCACCACCCCCACCATGGCTGGTTCTGTGTCGGACCAGATTAGGACGTGCTTCATCAACACAAGGTCTGTTGCCAACAAGACTTTTATCCTAAATGACTTTTTTTAAAGACGAGGGGCTAGATTTTCTTTTTCTCACTGAATCCTGGTTGCCTTTGGGTGATTCAAGCGCCTTGGTGGAACTTTTACCTCCTGACTGTCTGTGTTTTAATGCCCCGTGGCCATCAGGTCGGCGGGGTGGTGGAATATTAACTGTATTTAAATCAAACTTTTCCTGTAAACAGTTGTCCACCCTCATGCCCTGTTCCAGTTTTGAGCCGAGTGCTTTTGAACTCGGACATTCTCCTCCCGTTCTGTGCACGATTGTTTATCGCCCCCCTCGTTCCAAGGACTTCATAAGTGAATTCTCTGATTTTCTGGCTTACACCACACCAAGATATGATCACTTTATTATCGTTGGTGACTTTAATATTCACATCTGTTGTCAGGAGAAGCCGTTAGTGAAGGACTTCCTTGATTTGTTGGACTCATTTAATTTAACTCAACATGTAAATGGTCCCATCCAACAACACGGTCACACTCTGGATCTCATTTTAACACGTGATGTCTCTGTTTGCAATTTGGTAATCGGTGACAACGTTCTCTCAGACCACATGCCTGTCTTGTTTGATATCATCCCGCCTTGTCCTACTGCTAAGTCATGTGATTCTGCTCGTACTTCACGCGCCATTAACCGTTTCACTGCTGCACATTTTACTGAAGCTTTTAGCTCTGAGAGGATCGAACAGCTCTCAGTGTCTCTCTCCACCGAGGAGCTAACCTCTCAGCTTAACTCTGTTTGCTTAAATATTCTGGACCGTGTTGCTCCCGTTAAAACCAGGAAAACAAAACTTTTATCAGAACCATGGCTTAATGACGTCACTCAAGCCGTTAGACAGCAGTGTAGGAGAGCAGAACGCAGGTGGAGGAAAGACAGGCTGCAGGTTTCTTTTCAAATCCTAAAGGAGAATTGGCGTCATTATCAGAAGGCAGTTAAAGCCGCCAAATCTAAGTTCTTTTCTGCGATAATTGCCTCAAACTCCCACAACCCCCAAGCCCTTTTTTCCACCCTGAACTCAGTTCTACACCTCAGTGAACCTTCACCTCTAGAAGCCTCAACTGAGCTGTGTGAAAACTTCCTCCATTTCTTTTCTGAAAAAGTTGCAAACACCCGGGCACTCATTTCTCCACCTGCTCATGATCCGTCCATCCCATCGCATTGTGTTGCTGTTCTTGACCACTTTGAACCCATCTCTGTCTTCCCTGGAGCAGGTCATGTGCGGCATGAAGCCATCTGGCTCCCTTTTTGACGTTGTCCCCCCTCGACTCCTTAAGGAGCTTCTTCCTGTTCTGGGCCCTCCTGTTCTTGGCATTGTGAACAGCAGCTTAGCCTCAGTGTGGTGCCAATAATTTTTAAACATGCTGCTGTTCAACCTCTCCTGAAAAAACCTAGCCTTGACCTCTCAGTCATGTCCAACTTCCGGCCTGTCTCCAAACTCCCATTTGTCGCCAATATTTTCAGGAAACATAACATACCTTTTCATTTCTATACCGACGACTGCCAAATCTACTTCCCCCTCAGACTCAACGGTACTCGCTCTATTCAACCGTTACTGGACTGCCTGGCTGACATCAGAGATTGGATGGCTTTAAATTTCTTGAGTTTCAACGAGAAGAAATCTGAAGTTATGCTGTTTCCTCCCAATGACACAATCACCAACCACTGCATCGACCTATCCGTTCTGTCACCGTTAGTGAAACAAAGAGTCACTAATCTAGGAGTGATACTTGACCCTTCTCTGAAACTCAACAATCATGTAAATATGATTGTTAAATCCTGCTTTTTCCAGCTGAGGCGACTGTCTAAGCTGAAGCCCATACTGTCCAAGAATAACCTGGGGACAGTAATT